AGATATGCATTATCTGGGTTCTACTGTAATATAGTTGCTGCTGTAGCACAGCCTTCATTTGCAATTAAAGCACTGACAACAGAAACCAGTGCACTGTAGCTTTATGATACTGGGCTGCAAGTGTAAAACTGTCACTAACATTGAAAAGCATTAACATTGAAGTCTATAACTACTTAGGCCTCATGTACTCTGCAATTTTATTTTACACTCAATTTACACCTGTACCATTCACCATCAGAACTGTAATGATTTTGTAATATGCCTGACCAAGTCAGTAACATCAGTGACATCTGACAAAAAAGTTAGAGTTGCGTCATACAGAATAAAAGAAAGCTTCCTGAAACAGTTCTGACAACCCCACCACTTCTGATGAAAAATCCTAAATCTTACTGCTTCTGTTCATCATGTTTGATAGCTCTTTGGTAGCCCAAGAGCATGACACTTGCTCTTCTAACCGAGAAAACAGAGATACTATAATAATACTGTGTAAACTCAGCAGAGCAGTCAGAAATGAACCAAGACAAAGCAGACTCCTCAAAGACCCTTAAAACTAGACTTCCAAAACAATGTAAGGGTTGAGGTATACTGGCAGGAGCCAGTTATTATTTACATGGATGCATAACATCTAAGCAGGTAACGTAATTTTCTTGACTGCATCTATTCTGTGATTAAAACACTTCACTTTCCAAAGCTGACATTCAATACCTTACAAGCACCACTGATAGGGAAAACAAACAGCAAGGCTATGGGAAACTTGCAAATAAACTGTTCATAAAGGGAGCTTTAGCTTGTTCCCCAAATTTACTGGCACACTTATAGCACCCACTACTGCACAGTGAACTCCTTCATTCAGTACTCTAAGGTTCTCTTGCGCTTTGCTTAACCATTGCTTACTTTGCTATACCATAAAATAATGGTATTTACTTTGCAAGTGAGAACAATGAAATGAAATTGAGTATGTGAATTTTATATAATAGCTGTGTCAAAATGTTGTTTTCCACAGAAGAGTTTACAATTATGTTAAAAGGAGGTAGTAATGTGGCTTTTACAATCAAACCATGCATCATTTCATAGAAGGTTAACATCTCTGTTCCCTTCAAATAATTAGGTAACAGAACTAACTAAATACCTCTAACTTTAGAACATAGATATATAAATGTATTCATTTTTGTCTAGAAATACAAAATATTTTAGCAATGCAATCTGATCTCATAAGATGACAACTACTAAAGTACCTTATTATTTGTTCTAAAAAAACGTGCACAGTATGAGAGAAAATAAACTGATAATCACCATTTCAAACTGAAAAGACCAACAGGCTTTGGTCATTTGAGGTTTAACTATCAAGATAAACTAAAGCAAAACCCTTTGCCTCCATCATTGAGTTTTAGCATTAAGCTTCTCCTGTTAATCCAAAAAACAAAAAAGTTCAAAGTCCTACCTAAACTCATTAAATACAATCTCATTTAAAACCTCCAGCCAAAACATCATTATCCAAAGCAAACAGGGCTCTATTTACCAATCTAAGTTTTAGCATATCCCCCTTCCAAAACCAGCATGACCCAATATCAAGCAGAAATGGAACAGAATTATGGCCACTACATAACTTTTACTTATTCTGAAAATGAAAATAAACAACCCAACAATACAGACAGCAATGACATTGAAATGCAATGTGAAATCTGAGATATCTGTTCAATTTATCTGTCCTGAAGTGGGTATTATTCAGATTTGCTTGGTGATTATCTCCCGTATATTACCCAATATCATTATGCAGTGTGTTTACAACATCAGACCCAGAAAAATACAATAGTAGATTCAATGACACACCTGCTTAGTACACTGACTAGTTGTTAAAGGAACACACTGTGGATAAACATAAGGCCCTGCATTACCTAGAAATCAGGTCATTAAATATTCTCATTCAACTACTTTATCTGAAATTAAACTTCAGAAGTTACAATTAAGTTTCCTGATCATAGAATGATTTTTCTCTCTCCATTTAGATACAGTGTAATTATAGTATACCAGAGAAAAGACTTAAGTGACTGTGTAGCTGAAAACAGCAGTGCAAGATTTCTATTAACATTTATCCCCCTGCTGTTTAAATATAGTTTGTAAAAGGGAAAAATGTCCCCACCTTAACACCAAGTTAAGAATATGGAAGATGAATTATTCTATCAAAAAATACATGACACGTTAACATTTTATTTGCCATCCCAGTTCTAATCAGTTACGGTTACAGGGGATTAAGGAATGGAATATTAAGATTAAGCTTACTTTAGAATATTGAAACAAATTACCCAAACAAAATGTTCAAATCAACCTATGTTACAGCAAAGACCGTCAGTCTTATATTACTACCTTGTCTACATAATGTTAGAGTGATCTTGTAGCTATGAGAGTTCAGGAATTACGTGAGGCAAGGATTTTTCTGGCTGATATCTTTTATTGGACCAAACGCATAGCTCAGTTTGACATCTTGTCTAACTTTATCCTAACTTTGTCTACATAAGCCCTCTCCCTCACTAATACTGCAGCAGCAGTGTAGTTTGGGTTTGAACAATCACTAAAATTATAATCAACACATCATTTAAACCAGGGGTTGGCAACATTTTTCACTGGGGGGGCCCAATGTAACCTAGCTTGGGTCTAAGGCAGCTGGGTGGGCACTAGGACATGGCCTCCTCTGCCATTATTCCTTGCTGCTGCCTGGTCCTGGCACTCCTATGGAGAGGCCCTCTCTGCAGAAGCCCCAGGCACCCAACTAGAGCATGGCACCAACACACCTCCCAACACCTGACTACAGTATGGCATGAGCAAGGAGGCCCCACCAGCAGGATAGAGCAGGAAGAGACACCCCCACCACCAAATGCCATTGAAATTACAGTCTGCAGGCTGAATATGACCCACAGGCAGTTGCAGGCCCCTGATCTAGATTTGCACTGTCCAAAATTAGACAAGACAGTTTCCACTAGCACTTGCATCATTGCTAATGCCATGACACTTAGCACCAAATGTAAACAAGGCTCCTGAGATTGTCATCATGAACAATGAATGCCCATTTAACCAAGAATACCAATGGTCATGATTTGTATGTCTGTAAGCAGCACTCATACAATAATACCATGCACCCATGCCAAACAAAGCAATTTGATGTTGAACATACTGTCAATAATGTTTGCTTGATAAGAGTTCTGATAACACCCTGCACCAACCCCCATTTCCCCCCTCCCCAAAACAGCAAGTTCAAACATTTACAAAACCTGCTTTTTACTACAAACAGCATGGCACAGATGACATTCTTAATTGCTTCCTGCCCTTGGTTCCAAACAGTTTTAATCACTATTCTGATGGAAGTTGTTATGAATGCAGCACAGCACAATAAAGCCTTTGGGAAGAACATTTTCATCCTGACAGTCACCAACGTAGAACTACCAATCACAATCCATCAATAACCAGGGACATTTAGATAGCATGGTACAGATTCTTACTGTAGTTCTGGAAACACATCCTTCTATATATTTGAAAAAGAATCAGTTCTTGAAGACTGGAAATACTGTATTAAAAAAAAAAGACTGGTGTCTTATCCATAGTTTACACACAACATTTTGGCTGCAAAACCCTGCAGCCTTGCCTGCCGCTACAGGAAATTATATTAAATTACATAAAATGAATTAAAACCAAGGTTAGCAGGCACTGAACTCCATAGTGTAGTGTTGCCCATGGACTTGCCTTAGTTGAGGACCACTGATTTAAAATAATCCATCTTGGCATTTATCAGTCCCATCTCATGATATCTAGGCACAACTTGAATTGGACAGGTTCCTTACACCCAACATTAACTGTTCAGTAGAACTGCAGAAACATAGCTTACATCCCTTAGGCATATTAGTGGCTTTACTCGTGGTGGTTGCTCACTGACATCACTACTAATACAAGGGTTACACATCAAACCCATGGGACACAGAAGTTTCTGTGAGGCCAAGAATGTTTACAGTTTGTTGGAGCCTAAACGCAAAACAGAAAAGGAAGAAGCAAGATTGAGTACACTGTTTTTAGGATTGAGGTCCTGTTTTTAGGATTTGTTTTCCCAGCTGAAAAACTACTACCACCTGACTCCTGAGTAATATTAAGAAGTTTGTCAAAACGTGCCTGCCACCAATTTCGAGCTTTTATGCGAAAGCCATTACTTCTTGCACATTATTCTTTTGACTGAAAAACAAGGAACAGCAAGGCAGACTCACTTTCCTCAACCCACTGCTTTTATAGGACACGGTTTCTTCTAATGACATAATACAATTTTAATGAACTCTGAAAAAAGGAGGGAACAATTCCTTAGCCTAAAAGACCTCTTTCATCCAACTTACCTAACTCTCATCCCATTAGCCAGAAACCTTTAAGAACTATTATTTTCATGGAGAACAAACTGTGCTAACCTTAAGATAGCAAGTTATTAACCACATAATGTTAAATAGGTAGATTTTTTTTATCCCTAGTGAGTTTGGCAAAATGCAAAATAAAAGAAAAATCAGATTAAAGAAAAATTGAAGATTTAATTGTCTAAATGAGTAGTTACTTTAAAATAGGATTTTTGAGTATCAAAATATCTTCTTTTTTTAAAAGAAATTGGATTAGATTAGGTTTTCCTTACAAACACTCTGCAAACATACACATCCACTTGTTAAGACAGATCTTGACTTTCACAGACATTTGTTGCCAAACCAATACATCCCAATACAGATTCCATTTGGAGTTCTGTTTGAAGAATATGGAGTTCAAGACATTTGATTAAACATATCTAGCATTTAGCACTACAAACCCAGTAAATTGTTGTAACAATCCAACTAGAGAAAACTGGCCTCTGCTAAACATTTACTTAACTCCTTTTAAATGTATATGTTGCATATCATTGAAGCCAAGTTAAACCAACTCATTAAAAGTACAAACACATTAAGACAATTTCAAATTGTAGCACTATGACAAAATGCTCGACTTACTTTATGTAATATCTTGCACCTTCAAAAGTATATGCTTCCTCCCAACCTGTGGGTAAATCTAGAAAACAAAACACGGTACAGCTTAAATAATTCACCCCAACAACACAGTAATGGTTATAATTTTAGAGGAGAGACTAGTACAGTTACATCACTATTCATCCTTGACTAATATGCATCTGTCTCGACTTCAACACTGTTAAATTTATAGGAAATGTCAATATTAAAAAAAAAAGTTTGGACTTAAACAATTCCCTGTAGGATGAACCAAATAGTATACAGATGAAAGTAAAATGAAAGTGTATCTTTCCAGAGAGCAGTAATACAGATACATGCATGTTTAAATATGTGTCCCATTCCATTAAACGATACTTAGAAATCATCACTCTTCTGTGCACTGAAATACAGTAACTTTGAATTACTTGAGAAGCATAGCAATGTAAAGAAAAAAAAATCAGTTTTCAATGTGTGCAATTCATAAGCCTCTTAAGAAGCATTTTATATTTTAATGACTGTAGGTGTATTTTGCAAGTGTAATTCTATTGCTAACACATCCAAGACACACAAGGACTTCCTTGCAATATTTACAACTCCATACAAAACAATCCTGAGAATATCCTTACACATCTATCCACATTTCTATGAGTCTAAATAAATAAGTTTGTTGCTGAGCCTCCAACCTTCTATCGTTTCAAGAGTACAAAAGGACTACCTGGAGCAAGTTTATTTTGTAGAAAAAAAAATACATTTCTCAGTTAAAGAAAGCTATTTGGACCGGAGTACCTGTTTTTCCTCATCAACTTAATCTCTCTAGCCTGCTTTCTTACTATACATTAACGTTTCCTCCTGAAAGAAATCTAGTTGCCTTTTGGTAAGCTCACCAGGCAAGTAAAAGGTGAACAGAAAGTCTCTCCAATGTATGTATGTCCACTATTTAAACTCAATAGAAAGAACAGTTCATGGAGTTGGGGTTTTCTAAGACTATAACCTCAACTCTCATGGGACACGGACTTAAAAAAAAGAACGTCTCCTGATAGTTTTGGAAATATTTCCCTGCAGTAACTGTAAGAAGCCTAAAATACAAGATGTTTGCAGAAGATGAAAGGTTTTTCAGGCAAATTCCCTCCTTGGTATAAACAGCCTCTGATTAGGTTCCAAAGCCATAAATCAGGGAAGCCAAAAAAAGGAGGGGGTGGGGTGGGAGAGGGAGAATAATCTCTCTGATTCTACCTATAAATAAAATGAATAAGCACCTATGAAAGGGTAAAAATAGAGAAACAGGTTTCTTTTGTGCCTACTACAGCACCTAATCTGCAAAGTATCATAATGTATGCAGCGCCGTACTGGAAGTACTTCACCTGAGCATTCAAAAGGAAGTTTCTTTCACTTGCCAATAACTTCCCCTGTTGGACACAATACGTGCAAGACGTGACAAGCAAACTACCTTTCCCCTGGAAGACATGAGCGGCACAAATACATGTACACCTATGCACAGGTACACCCCCCACCCATGAACAGGCGCACGCACCCCCCCACCCGTGTATAGGTACACACACCCCACACCTACTCCCATGCACAGGCGCAACTCCCCCCCCACACACACACACATCCATGCACAGGTGTGTACACACTCTGCTTGGGGTGGACACAGAAATAAAAAATTTCAAAGCAATCGGAACGAGGCATCTAAGCCAAAAGAGCTGTGGGTGCCGACTCAAAACAGAAGGCTGCACTCGTTTAAAAAAAATAAGAGATAGAGACAGAGAGAGACACTAAGGCACCAAAGCACCTCACATTCATCTGCCCCTTGCCCATTTCCAAGGCCCTTAAGAGGATTTCTCAATTAACCTGAGCACTAATTAAACTGTGGCAGAGGGAGCTCTGCGAAATCAATCAATTGTTCCCCTGCCTGGCTCTCCAAGCCTTGTGAGGGCGAGCCGCG